ACATGCTTTCATGTTTAGTTTCTTTGAAAAAAGGCTTAGTACGACTAAGAAAAAATATACATAAACGATTAAATGTTAAATGAAATTTTTTCCTCAAGCTGTTTGTTAGAGGTTGTGATAAAACTCCCACTTTTTACCTACGATTTAATTTAGTTTTAGACTTTGACAAATTGAGGCAATAATAAGATAAGATCTGTAAAGACATCTGTCTGTTATTTTTAACATTTTTACCAAGACTTTAATGCTTCGTAGGGAGTTAGTTACGTTACTTAAAAATACATTTGTATACAACTAAGAACCAACTTCTATGAAGTCGCCCGAACGCTATCACTAGACGTATAAGTTGTTAACGCAACGGTTATGTAAAAATAAAAGAAAACTTATTGAGGAATAATCATTAAAGATCTTAATTTATGTTTTACATCTAGCGCCTGTGGCAACGTCTAGAGCTGTACAAGAACATTATATTCACATCTTCACACACTGCAGATAGAAGGAATATAAATGAGGCAGTTTTTACATTGAATAGAAGCCTCTTTTGTGTTCCCCCTTTAAACAATTAACAGAGTTGGAAGAAATATCAAAATTTCATGTTAGTTTTTTGTTTTAGTTTAAAATTACACAATGGGATATTTGCGCTCTGTCTACCGCAGGGAATCGAACTCCGGATTTTAGCTTTATAAGTCAGTAGACTTACCGCTGACCTACTGGGGGAGGGAATTCAGGACATGGATCGTTTTTCTATTTACAGTCATAAAAATGTCTAAAACTCTAAAACTCCAGTCTGCCATTAACAAGGTTAAGAATAAGAAGAAGTTTGTTAGTTTTCATGCAAAGCTATATGCGACCTGACCACCGCGAGGAATCGAACCCCCGGATTTTAGAGTTTAAGTTCGTAAAATTACACTGGCCCAGCGGAGGACTCATGATAGGTAACGTTTTTCCTATTCAAATGGTTAGTGTTTTTTGTTTTGTTTTTCACACAATTCAAATGCATGAGTAAATTTGCGTACAAATTAAATTAATGAACAGAACGATAATAATAATCTTGTTAGGACAACCAAAATGTTTTGTCTTTTCCTTACATCTAGTACCCCTAGTTGTATATTAACGAGTAGTTCACGCTTGTACATACATGTGGTGAAAATTTCGAAAAGTGCAGAAACACGTGGTATTCGTGGATGCTAAAACCCCCGACAGAAAGTTTACGTTTAGTAACCGTATATAAAACCCCCCGACAGAAAGTTTACGTTTCGTAACCGTATATAAAACCCCCCAGAGCGTTTACGTTTCGT